GGTTCCAACATTTTCTAGACAATCGGCTCACAGATAGGGGTGAGGTTGTCGGCCCTGCGCGCTGGCCGCCCTTTACCCCGCAGAAAGATTCCAGGTACTCATTTCTGTTAGAGGCTGAGTCGACCCCAGGGCCACAGTGCGGCTGGAAGGGTTAGGTCAATTTAAAAATTCAGTGGCCTCATTGTAATTTGAACCCGCGACCTTCCGGCTTGTAGCATAGTCCCTCAACCAACTACACTACCGCGTGCCCCTTCTGTGAGGTACGAACTATATTTATACAATATATCATTTAGAAGGCAACCGATTGGCCTTTAAAGGGTTCAAAATAAAGTATTTCCTACCGATATGAAATACAGGAATTCTCATTTCAGTTCTACCAAAAACAATGCAGTACGTAAGACCATACATTTTTATTCCATTTCGAAATATTAAGAAGCAATTTTCGGTTTCGTGTCATGTTATGTGCCGCAGTAACGTCATTCGTTCTTTGATGCGCCGAGTTTATTGAAGGTCGGTGTCTTAAACTTCATGTGGTATATGTTGACGTGTGGAAGACAGAGTTGTGGGGAGGAGGGGGGCCACTGGGGAAATCAAAAGTTATATGTGGCGAGGTCCGTTCTCTTCAAAATATAGTCTCGCTTCCGTGGTTTGAAGGAGAGGCATTTCAACTAAATTGCTTCTATACACTCAGACTGCTAACTCTCTAAAACATTACATTTTCAATTATTATGCATTCTATAGCAAGGAGGATGAGGTGGGCAGGGCATATAGCACGAATGGGGGAGAAGAAGAATGCATAAATGATATTGGTGGGAAAGCCATATTGAAAAAGACCACTAGGAAGACCAAGGCGTAGGTGGGTGGACAATATTAAAATGGATCTTAGAGAGATAGGATGGGATGGTATGGAATGCATTGAAATGGCTCAGGATAGGGACCAGTGGAGGGCTGTTGTGAACACGGTAATGAACCTTCGGGTTCCATAAAATGCTGGGAAACTCTTGAGTAGCAGCTCAATTGGCAGGTTCTCAAGAAGGGCTGGGCTCCATGAGTGAGCGATGCATTCTAGAGTCTGTCTAGTAAACTGTGTATAAAACATATCTGAGATGACGTCATCGCGAAACAGTGACATATATCGATGTATTATGATTATAAAATCACTAGGTTCTATTTTTAGCACACGAATCGAACAAGAATGAAAATAATGTAGTTCTTGTTGAGCGCCGAAGATATTTATTGCTTAGAGTTTCTCTACTCAAGGTACAACATACCCTCAAAGATATATTGGACACAGTTTAACATAATTCAAAGACCCAACACCCTTAATACCTATGCTCGCATAATTGTTTGCAATTGTGGACAATTTCTGCGGCGCCATTTGAAAATTTTAATCGTAAGGAGCGTGAAAATTTTGGGGGCGGCATAACGAGATAATGACTTGATACATGAATTTCTTGTATGACAATTATTCAGGTCCTAAGCAGTATTCACTAGCCTGGATGTTCAAGTAAAGAACTTGGTAATGAATGTTAAATGGCAATTTATATGAATCAGTGCAAGAAAGGGCCTAGGAATTTTGATTTTATGGTTGACTATGTGTGGCAAAATTTGGAAAAAATAATAATAATATCCCCCCCACACACACACACACACACACACACAAGAGTCTGATATGAACTTAAATAGGATTGTATGCATGAGAAGCACAGAGTAGCAAATTGGAATTCGAGAAACTCCCTAAATAATATTTGAGAATTAAGTTCGTACCTCACAGGAAACAGCGCTCTTCCATTACATCAAGTTGGTTAGTCCTCTTTGGGGAAATAATCGCAGTTGATTCTGAGAGGCGCAAGACATTTAATATATTCAAAACGCTGGGATCCATTTAAATGTGCTACATACCGTAACCCGTGCGGTTTAATGGGTTAAATTGGATATATTTTGGCCACAATCGAGAACATCAATCTTTCCTCTGTTCTTCCTCCTTTAATTCCTTTTCGTTCTTCTCTTTTCCTTTCTCTTATGTTTTCCTTATCCCTTACGTTAGTCCTCTTCTTCCTTCTCTCAATTCCTCCTTTTAAATGCCCTTTAAAAATTGCACTAGTGACTAAGATACGAAAAGTTCGACGGAGGAATTTCGGTTCAGCTCCTGACAGAGACAATATATTTCTTACTTCTCTCCACAACGTCTAGACCGGCTCTGCTGTGAACCCTGTGTTTCATCCAGCGGGTATCTGGGACTCTTTCATCGGGGTAAAGCAGCCGGAACGTTAAGCTGACCACTAATCTTCATCTGGCACTGAAGCTATGTATGCGTGAGGCTATACCTACACTCCCCCATGCGACTTCGTGATGTGGCCCCAAATTAATCATAAGGAAAATTAAGTTATTTACTTTTCTTTTGGAGAATTATTTTAAGATGCATTTAGTATCACAGGCCAGAACGTTAGTATGATTGCTGAATGATGGTTTGAAAGTGAAGGGTCTGACCTAATAGAGGTAATATCCCAGCATTATATTGGAGGGACTGAGGAAAAATCAGAATAGCCAGTGCTGCGACTGAGTTTCGAACCCAGCATTTCCCGAATAAATGTCTAGGATATGACCGCTAGACCAATCTTTCTAAACTTTCACGCCAAATACAANGGTGGGACTAAGTCCCTTGTACTGCGGCCACTTCTGGCCTATTGTACCAGCCCCAGATGATAGGTGAGGGTGATTGTGGAGCAATTGGTGGAATGAAGATTGGCAGGAGAAACCGAAGTACTCGGAGAAAACCTGCCCCAGAGCCAATTTGTCCACCACAAATCCAACTTGACCAGACCCGGGATCGAACCCGGTCCGCCGCGGTGGGAAGGCAGCGACTAACCGCTTGAACTATGGCGCGGCCCAACATGACGCATTACTAATACAACGTTTTATAAGGGGTAAAAGTTATCCGTGTAACAGGCCGTGGAGGCCCATAGGGTTGTGAGACGTCGAGGCTCCCACATCTTCTAGACAATCGGCTCACAGATGGCGGTGAGGTTCTCAGCCTTACGCGCCGGCCGCCCTTTACCTCCAAGAAAGTTCCTGGTACTCATTTCTGTTAGACGCTGAGTCGACCCCAGGGCCACAGTGCGGCTGGACGGATTAGGTCAATTGAAAAAATTCAACGATCTCATCGGAAATCGAACCAGCAACGAAGTGTTTGTATTCAAGTGGCACTTCATATGAATCTCTTCCTCGGAGGTACTGAAACATTACGCTTCGGTAAATGTAATCCATTTTCGTAATATTGGTTTCGTACTGGGTTCAGCGTCTAATTAAAGATCCCTTACTTTCCTCTGTGAGGGCTAATAAAGTTACTACATTTATGAAACGCACTACCACAGGCCACTGATAGCCTGATAAAAAGAAACCTTGACTTGATTGTGATGTATAAACTAGCGACGGGTTCGATAGCCGGTACTCTTCGGTACCTTCATCAGTCATCATGACGCCGTGTAGTCTGGATACTTAAGTCGTCATAAATTATCCTACACAAGGAAAATATATTTTAGGAATACATGAAATATATGCTAGAATTGAGGTACTCTGGCGAAGGGGCGTGACGCCGTGTAGTGTGACTGGCGACAACTTAGTGACATTTCGTGTTTCGGACGTACAGGTAGGAAATCAATCTTAAACATCGCTAAATTCCTATCAGACTAAACGGCGTCACATGTCAGAAGACAGCAAAAACTAAAGTTCTCCCCTGTGAATAAATAAGCATGAAGCCATTAAGACGTATGGAGAAATAGTTGCATAGCTCCATCATTCCTGACCTTGGCACTTGATGGAGGTTAATGATTAATTTCATGTCCCGCCCGCTTTACCCCGACGGAAGCTGATACAGAGCCTTGATGGGTCCTAGACGCGGTCTGAACGCTCTGGAAACAGAACGATTTTTTGTCATTGACGGGAATGGAACCCCAGATGCCCACACCGTGGTCTATACAGTAAGTTTCACAAATTGTAGGTCTGTGAGGTACAATGAGCGCGTTATCTTTTCATTAGCATAGCACTCGCAATGCGTAAGTCATTTGGGATTTGTCAGCAGTAGACACATCTACTGTTGTATGAGTGAAGCATTCGTGGTTATATGAAAGCATGTCACACAGATGTCAGAGTGAATGCAGCTAGTGCCCGGACGTGAGGACGGCCTCCTCCCGTCAACATACTTGTTTCACAGTCGGTGGAGTAAAATAATTAAAATAAATAATGATAGTATAATAATAAGTTCTGGGAAGGACTAATCGCCTACTTCCCTTGATACGACATGTACCGCGTAGAAAAAGACGCGTCCAACAATTCCTCTGTTATTGTATGTGTATTCGTTGCCTAGCAATGAAATGAGAGATACAGTTTACCGAACCGTTGCCTAGCAACGATAGGGAGATACACATATAGACACACAGATTGATGGGAAGGATTTATGAAGTACGCCGTTGAGACGGGCTCAGATGCCATGATAATTATGCCAAGTTTCATAAACATTGGTCGAGGAATTCAGAAGTTAATAGGGGGAGGGGGATACACAGACAGAATGGACATCGCGCAAGTCTAAGCCGGTCTAAACGCTGTACAAGGAAAAGAAGGATCTCTTATCCCTGCCGATATAAGGTCCTCTGTTGTCCAGGACTTAATCTAATCGCTGTAAAGACTGGGCCATAAACGGAAATAACAAAGATAAATGAAATGAATAAATTTCCTAAATATATTTGAGAGAGAGATTCACATTTCTGTGCAAGTCACATACAAATGTCCAAGTTCTCTCAAGTGTTTCATTCCATCGTTGTTTCTACATTTAAAATGCATCAGCTTTTGACTCGCTGTTAATCTAGTTTATTTCCAGCACATTTCCGATGTGCAAACCTAACACTCCTATCTGAACCGTAAGCCTGATAACACAAACTGCGATAAGATAGACTTCAGAAGAGTCACGGAGAAATTCTTGTATCTGCAGTTTGCAATAATGTGTTTCTCACGTAGCAAGTAGTACAGAAGCCGTGTTGAAGAAAAGTACAGATTTCAGTGGACAGTTCTACAATACCCATGACTGGTATGTATATAAATATATCGCATGAATTTGTAAGTAATTTTACTAAGACTATGCGCGCGCATCCACTTGCGCACTTCATTATTAACCTAAAGCTCCTTTACCACTAAAGCTCATGGCTTGCCTTAGTGAACCGTTGTTTCAAATGGAGCTGTTTCCACGCAGCTACACAACCGATCATCATTTAGTGGAAAAGGAGCCGTTGCGAAATAGTAATCAGTCGTGTGGCTGTGTTGAAACAACTCCATTTAAATCAGCGGTCAGCTAATTCGCCACACATTCATGGAATTAGATGCTAAAAGGTAAAGGTAAAGCAATCCTTGTAACAAGCCGTGAAGGCCCATAGGGTTGTGAGACGTCGAGGCATCCATACTTTCTAGGCAATCGGCTCAAAGATGGCGGTGTGGTTGTCAGCCTTACACACCGGCCACCTTTTACCCCCAGGAAGATTCCTGGTACTAATTTCTGTTAGAGGCTGACTCAACCCCAGGGCCATAGTGCGGCTGGAAAGATTACGTCAGTTGAAAAATCCATGACGTAATCGGGAAGCGCGATCTTCTGGCTTGTAGCACAGTGCCTCAGCCAGCTACGCTACCTCTGGCTCCGAAATTGAGGTCCTAACCAGTACAATTAACAAATGTCAGTATACAAAATAATTTATAGTCGAGTGTGTGCTATTCATGCTTCGTACTAGGGACGTCCCTGTTTCGAATCCCGAGTAAAATTTGGGTAGCTCTTCCGTCCTTCAACTTCCTGTCCAGTTCATCTTCCATTGGACGCTACATGACACAGACAGTGAATGGACCCGCGGCAAATAACCAAGGATCGTCAGTACGAACACATAAGGGAGTTCAAAATTTTCTTCTTTCAAGGGATGGAGATTTAAACTCCTGAAGCACAGGCGAACCAAGCGTCCTCCCAAACTGAATTGCTATATATTCCGCCCACAGAGTGTACATGTGTTCCGTGTGGCTCTCACAATAAACAGCGACTGTTTCCCTAAACAGCATTAACCGGTTGGGCTTTGTAGCGGAGACGTAGTGTTTCCTGTGAGGTACGGACTGAATTGCTATATAGTCTGCCCACAGAGTGTATCTGTGTGTTCCGTATGGCTCTCACAAAAAACAGCAACTCTTTTCCTAAACAGCATTAACCGGTTGGGCTTTGTAGCGGAGACGTAGTGTTTCCTGTGAGGTACGGACTGAATTGCTATATAGTCTGCCCACAGAGTGTATCTGTGTGTTCCGTATGGCTCTCACAATAAACAGCAACTCTTTTCCTAAACGGCTTTAACCGGTTGAGCTTGGAAGCGTAGATGTAATGAGTTTCCTGTGAGGTACTTAACCAACTTCATCTGTTATTTAGTAGGAATTCAGTCTTTAAAGTATTTATTGACCGGTCCTTTTAAGAGAAGGATATCGTGTTTCCTGTGGGGTAGGGGAACTTAAATTTTAAAACCTACATACATGGATTTCAGGCTTCAAAATGCTAAAATTTTGCGTATATAATTAAATAACATTAAACAAGTCGCTTATTTATTCTCCTAACCAACTAACTAACTTCATGGGGCTGAGCCCTTGAGAAGCCGCCAGTTGTATAGCTACTCAAGAATGTCCCAACATTTTATAGAACCCGAAGGTTCATTACCGCGTTCACAAGAGCCCTCCACTGGTCCCTATCCTGAGCCAGGTCAATACAGTCCATACAACCCCGGACTATCTCTCTAAGATCCATTTTAATATAATTACCCACCTACGTCTTGGTTTTCCTGGTGGTCTCTTTCCTTCAGGCTTTCTTGCCATTATCCTATATGCATTCCTTTTCTCGTCATTCGTGTTACATGCCCTGCCTATCTCATCCTCTTTGCTATTTACTTTTTATTAATATTACTAATATTATTATTGGCCTCTGGGCTGTTAGGTTTACACTTTAACAAACAAGAACTGAATTATTATTATTTCAAACTTCATAGTGTTCAAACGTTTGCGTATATACGAGTAATTAGATGTAAATGAAATGACAATTTTTATTATTATTATTATTATTATTATTATTATTATTACTATTAGGTTTCGGGGTAGCTGAGTCGGTACAGCGACTAACTGCGGGCTGGACGACCGGGGTTCAATTAAATCCAGTTCAGTTTTCAATTTCCATGACGTTCAGACTAAATCTGGGTCCCACCCAGCCTCCTATCCAAGGACCCCGGGGTCTGTTTCCTCAAGGATAAAGAGGGAGGGGCGTGAAGCTGACCACTCACCACCATCTGGTGCCGAAGTCAAGAAAGGTGGAGCTATGCTTCCACTCCCACGTATATCTTCCTAGCATTAAGCACGAAGACAGGTTTTCTATTATTATTACAGTCGAATGTTAGTAGCAACCTGTCCGTTGCCTCGATTTCGGGGTTTCCAGTCTCAGCCCAAATCCGGGACGACTAAAATTTCTTATTCTTTCCTTGAAGAGACTTCTGACAGTTTACCATAAATTAAGAGATGATTTCGTCTTTTCATATCCTCAGTTCTTCATTCTGAAACGTAATATCCCAAAATTTGCTCATTCAAGTTACGGTAAATAAACTAGAAAAGAATTCCGAAGTTTTAGATGTATTCTTACATTTACGGAGGACATATTTAAATTGATCTGTTTGTGCGTCTGCATGTTTGCAACAACGGGAGGATTTCTGGAGGGATATTCATGAAATCTGATATTGTGGACATGTAGCAATATTCATTTGCACATTTAAATTTTGGATAAAATACGATGAAATTTACAGATTCTTTACATTAAACCCTACATGTTGAGGAGAATATTTGGACCGAAGAGGGATGAAATGATAGGAAGTTGGAGAAAACTGCATAATGAAGAGCTTCATAACTTGTACTGTTCTCCAAATATAATTAGAATTATCAAGTCAAGGAGGATGGGATAGGAAGGACACGTAGCATGGGGGGGAGACGAGGAATACATATAGGATATTGGTTGGAAAACCAGAAGGAAGAGGCCACTGGGAGGACTAAGATGTAGGTGGGGGGGGCAATATTAAAATGGATCTTAGGGAGATAGGGTTGGATTGATCTGGCTCAGGATAGGGACCAGTGGAGGGCTCTTGTGACCACGGTAATGAACCTTCGGGTTCTATAAAATTCTGTGGTGTTCTTGAGTAGCTTCACAATTGGCGGCTTCTGAAGAAGGCCTCAACTCCGTGAGTGAGTGAAACCCTACATGAGTTTCTCCGTAAAATCTTGACGATAGTACGTTCCAGCAAAAATGTTTCGCGACGGCGCTCTGCAGGAAAATGTAACACACACTTTTTTGTCTTATAGGATTAGACCTTTAAGGAAATCAGACAGAAAGTGCGAAATTCACCATGAAGTTACGGTGTGTGTACATTTCTGTTCTTGTTTCATTTTAAAATTCAGCTACAAACAAATGTTATGTTCTTACTGTTGACTGAGGAAAAGACAAAATGTTATATTCTTACTAATTTCTTTGGTTTCAGTTTGTATGCTGAAGATAACTTCATGAATCGCAATTGAACTGGCTGTATGTAAAACAAAAGGACATTATGCTGACCTGTAAAGCAGTAGCCTTGTTCTTCTTTTTAATCTGCATGGTCGAGGCATCGAACCACTGTCCAGGAACATGCAACTGCACAACGGACGGGAAAGACGCCGAATGTTTGGATACAAATTTAGAATTCCTTCCGGAACCTCAAGGTTCAAACTTTACGACTTTGGACATCAGCTTCAAAAATATTTCTCTGCTCCATGATTTCGGTGTCTCGGGAAGGCAGTTAAAATATCTTTATATTAACAATAACCGTATAAATCGTGTTGAGAAATCGGTATTTTCGAAGTTCCCTGCATTGTTGCATATTCATCTAGATTATAACTTAATTACTGGGGTTGACCCACGTACATTTGAAGAAAATCATAAGCTATGGAAGTTAACCCTAAATGGAAACTCACTGACTCTTCCGAAAGATACAGGAATTCTGGATGTGCCTTCACTTGGTTGGATAGAATTAGAAAACTGTAACATCAGTTACCTGCATGTGAATTCATTCAAAAATATGTCAAAGTTGGTATTTATAAGATTAAGTAACAATCATATTCAACATTTGGATATTCAATTGTTTTCTCATTTGAAACAATTGAGGTATCTGCATTTGGAAGGAAACATGGTAAAAGAAATACATCCTGACCTTTTTAAAAGTAACCATGAACTTGAATGGCTTTATCTGCGTCATAACCCATTGAATCAATTGAGTAAACATCACTTCTTGCGTGCTCCATCTTTAATTTCACTTGACATCAGTTTCTGCAATATCAGCCAAATAAAAAACAGTTCTTTTTCTAATCTTCGCAATCTTATAAATCTGAGATTAAATAACAACATTTTCAAGTCTTTCAACATGACACATATTCCAAAAAACCTTGAAGTTTTGGATATTTCTGGAAATTTTATGAAAACGATACATATGACAAAAAATACGATTAAACATATGAGGAATATAAAACACTTGGATTTAACAAACAACGAATTCACGTGCGACTGTCACTTGTTCGATTTATGGGAATTGTGTGCTACTTTACGAAACGGATCTGGAGGCATGAGTTCATGTGATGAATTCTGTCCTGCTTCCGAATTTGAGATCTGTAAGGGACAACATCCTAAAATCGATCAAGTTCAGAACACATCCGAAAATTTTACTGCAAGAGAACCCAGGAAAAATTACGAATACATTAATACCACGAAGGAAGAAACTGACGTGGATTACGAAACAAGTGACAATGAACAGAACAGTGAGGTAGAGGTTTTTGGAGGCACACATAATGATTCTGAAGATGCTAATGATAAAACTGGGAAATACAGAGTTAATGAGGAAAGTGATTCGTCAGGCCTGTGGACTAACATTCTGTATTCTTGCATCGGCATATTTGGAGGGATGTGTCTTATCGGAGCAACAGTTCTGGTGGCAGAGCTGTTCTGTGGTCGCAGAAAGAGAAGCGGGAAAATGTCTGCCAACAGTAGCCTGCAACACGTGAGGATGAAACTGATGGAAACAAGCGAAGAAGGACAAGAGATGGTGCCAGTCACGCAACAGCGTGGTTTCGATTTCGTTTATGTGCCCAAAAATGCAAACAGAACTGACGAGAATGACCAGTCATGACTTGGTTCAGTTAAACCATGAGTGGACTTTGAGTGACTGGTAAATTCATGATTTAGTTCTAGGTTGAATACGTGTATAAGCGTCAGGAAAAGGATCATAAGTAAATCTGTATTACAGAACTGTAAGGTTTATTTTGGACTCTATCCATCGTCTTGTATATATAAGACAAAAAAAACACAACTGGCTCTTTCTAACGGGCACAGCTGAGTAGGTCTATCTTGCCCCATCCACCTGAGGACGGAGACATATCCAGTCTCCGAAACGTTGTGTTTTTTTGTGGATAGAGTCCAAAATAAACCTAATAGTTCTATACAGCATACACCATCGTAAGAATCCTTTAAAGTCTAAATCTGTGTTATTTAAGAACAAACAAATCTTTGAACAATATCTAATGACATTTTGCAAGTATTCCTTTTCTGTAGATGACTTAGAATTTGTGTAAAATTGCACCGTGTTTTCAGAACGTGATTTTGTTTCTTTATGATTATTTTATAATTAATTATATGTTTAATATTGTTTTCAGAACGTGAATTTGTTTCTTTATGATTATTTCATAATTAATTATATATTTAATATTAACTTCAGTGTTGTCATTGATGAAATCTATTGGCTTTATATTTAACACAATTTCCATGACTCGATTATATGTAGATTTTATATTTATGTGCTGATAAATATTTAAGCAATATTTCATGACCATTCAACGTTGTTCCAGCTTGTAGCACAGTGCCTCAACCAACTACGCTACCGCGAAACGTAATATTTAATAATAGCAATGATATGCATCAGTGAACATGAGAAGGATATATCAGTTCATAAATGGAAAGATGATACGAGCTCATGAAACAACATTTTGAATAAATAATTGTATTAAGAAAGTACTTGCATACGCTCAGTTGGTATAGCGATGTGTTACGGGATGGACGGCCGGGGTTCGATTCCCGATAGGGACAAAATTATTCTCCTCCGCAGCGTCCAGACCGGCACTGAGGCCCACTCAGCTTCCTATCCAATGGGTACCTGGGCTCTTTCCCTGGGAGTAAAGCGGTCCATCTAGTGCAGAGGTCAAGAATGGTGGAGCTATATCTTCACTCCCCGCTACGTCTTCATGGCCCTGGTACTCAGTTAATTAAGAGCAGGCACAACTTTGCCTTTATTAAGAATGAATAGTTCAGTCGGCAGAGAGAGCAGGTTACGGGCTGGAAGGCCAAGGAATAGGGCGGTCCTTTTAAGGACAGGGACAAAGTGTCCTTCTCTGCGTCCCTCGCAGCCTCGGACCAATGAGCGCGGGAGTTCACGCCCCGCTATTACAGCGAACAGAGCGTGAAGCTAGCCAGTTAACTCCACATAGTACCGAGGTCAAAAATGCATGGGGCTGGAACTCCACTCATTGATCTATCTATCTAGGTATCTATCGTATCTATCTATGGTTCTACAGAACTCGTGAACCTTGGCCGTTTTTTAAATTTATTAATCTTATACATAGAAGGTAGGACTCCTTGAACAGGGATCAGCCCGTCGCAAAACCGCTACCTTCATACAGAACAACACCAACAGAATAAACGCGTAAAGGCATCCATTCTTCGAGTGGGATTCGAACCCATGATCCCAGTGTTCGAGCGGACGAAGATGGCTCATGACTTATCGGCCAGTGTGTCGCCTTCATGATATTATGATTAATTAAGCACAGGGAATATTTTACCTTTATCTTAATTAAGAATTAACATTTTTGTCTTCTGATATGACATCATTTAGTTTGGCAAACAGGTACCTGTGTACCAGACTACATGGCGTCACGACTTAGAAGACCTTCGTCCTAATATTCAACTTCCTGAGGACGTCATGTCTCCCATATTAAGAATGATACTAATCTTGCGTCAGCCGGGTTGAACTGAAATATCTAGCTTCAGAATTGTCAATGTCATTACGCAATGTAGGGACCATAGCAACGAACCGGTGAGTGTTAACATGTTGCATGAGCGCATGTGATGTGGTAGGTCACGAACTAGCGAGTAGTCATTTTCTTCAGCGTATCGAGTCTATTCTGTGAATAATGACAACATTTTGATGTGTATATGTGGAAATGTAGTGTATTATAGAAAGACGACGATTTATTGAGCGTTGTTCGTGGGAGATGGCGTTAAATGTATCCTCGACGCATTATTAACAGCACGTAAGACTGGGGGGAAAGCAGGCGACTTTAACAGGAAGAAAACTTGTGTAACAAATTATGAGATTTTCTGCTGAATTCACAGAAGTTCTTCTATGTAAGTTAATAATTATTTAGGGCATTTGAATTTATTGCGGAAACTTTTTGCAAAGACGGACACACCATACTGTTGCGTCCTGTAGAGCTGGCTGCATAGATTCTTACCGAGGGGCAAGATAAAGTTATTTGAAAGTGAAGACAACAAACAGAAGTAAATCATATTTTTCCTTCTGTCAAAACACTTGAAATAATTATCTACCAGGAGAACAAAAAAAAAGAGAAAAGTTAAAGGAATATTTGTGTATGCGCGTTTCTTTGTTTATATGTTACACTTAACATTACATGCGTACCAACTTAGGGGAACTACAGCAAAGAAGACGTCAGCAATAAGTAAAGAAAAGTTTTGCCAGCAGTTGTTAGCAATGCTTCATAGTAACTTGACTGCACTTAAAGTCCCAACAACAGAATTCTTACTACCATAACAACAATTTCTAAAATGAAGGAGCATTACAATCCCACGAAACTTTAGACAAAGATGAATCTCTTAAGACAAGCCTGCATTCACAGAATGAAGAATGTTCATTTTTCGTATACCGTTTAATCAGAAGTTTTACAATTCACACAGCATGAACTGAAAACACTTAGTGAATTGCAGACCGAGCGGGCTGCTGTAGAAGTAAAGCTGCACGCTCCTTTTCGGGTATATCTCGATTTAAATCTCGACCGAAACTCTAGCCATAAAAACTGAGGATTTACGTTGTTTTCCTCAGTTCCTGCACACAAACAGCACTCCCTCGTCATTCTTAATTATTTCCAAGGTACAGGGTGTCCCAGGAGGAAAAGTCAGTATCCTGGGATGCCATAGTATCGGTCATTCTAAACAAAAACTGCAAATGTATATGTGTCCTATTCCGAACGGTTTCCGAGATACAGCTATTTCACTGTACAGACGAGCAACACTCCATGTCCTCACACGAGTTGCAAAGTGCACTGACGTTGATGGTGGAATTTTCGAAAATATATTATACTAGGTGAACTCTTGTGAACACGGTAATGAAACTTCGGGTTTCATAAAATGCTGGGAAATTCTTGAGTAGTTGCAGAATTCGCGGCTCCTCCAGAAGGGCTCAGCTCCATGAGTAAGTGAGTGAGTAAGTAAGTATCACACTAGATAAACTGTACCAACTTTGTCACTTGAACAATAAATGCCGGTATTAGAAACAGTACGTAGTATCTCTTTCTTATCAACAGTTTTGGAACTGCACAGTCAAATAGCTGTATCTCGGAAACCGTTCGGAATAGGACACATGTACACTTTTGCTTAGAGTGACCGATACTGTGACCTCCCAGAATACTGACCTTTGTTCCTGGAGTACTCTGTATAGTCTAGCTACTCATACCGTCGTAATGAATACCACAGGACTCCGAAAACCATATAAATTTTATCGGGGAACTGATCCCTACTTCCCTTTCATGTGACAAGGACCGCATAGAAAACGAAAAAAATAGGGGATACACACACACAGACAGCAAAATGGTCTCATAAGCCTAAAAAAATAACAGAGATGGACAGACAGACAGACGGATGCAGAGAAAGAAAGCAAGACGGTCTCATAAACCTATTTTTATTTTTTCAGAACATGAAAATTTGACTAAAAATCTATCCTTCTGCAGTTCGACGATATACCTACCGACACCGCCGTAAAGTAAATCAAGAAAGAGGGCTCTGTCTTCACGCGAGAGCTTACAAAACGCTGAATAAATTTAGAATAAAATACGGTCCTGCAATCTGCGCATAAGGATGCGCAACGATTTTCCTCAGTAGGTAAGGTAAAGTTGTCCCTGGGCTTAACTAATTAAGCACTACACCATGAGGACGTATGGAGGAGTGGATGTATAGATCCACATTTTCTTGACTTCGGCACTAGTTCGAGGTGATTGGTCAGCTTCACGCCCCGGCAGCTTTACCGCCGGGGAAAGAGTCCCCGGTACCCATTGGGTGGTCCCCAGAGCCGTTCTGGACGACATGGAGAAGTCCCCTACCGGGACTCGAACTCCAACTTCTCGGTCGTCGCTATACCGACTACAAGCGGTATCGAAAATGCTGAAATCATCACGTAAGTAACACTGAAACCGCTGAAGATCTGCAATCAGCTGACAAATGTGGGAACCGCGTCTTTTGCCCAGGGTTGTCTGGAATCAATTGCCTGTCCCCTCGCCCAGAGAGCAGTGTGTGCTCCGCTGTCGTGAATTAAACATGCACCGGTTGTCCCAAAATCAGAGTCACCATTATCCAGTTGCTTTGGGTGACAGCTTGTTTCTTACACTGCAGACCGGATAGCATATGATGCAACATATTTCTACAATGTTCGTTGCCAGGAAAAGACAATGTATAAGAAAAAGAGACAAAGAGAGGGAAGAAAGACGACATGAAACAGAATATGAGAGCTAAAAGGAAGAGGAGAGAAAGAAAGAAGCAGTAAAATGTAAAGTTATCCCTTTGCTTAACTAATTGAGTACTGTAAGATCTAAAAGTCTGTCACGATGGTTGCCATTAATATATTGTTGGACATTATCCATCATCTTGTCTATTCTTAAAACAACCCTCCTGTTTCTTTTGAAAACACGACGTTTCGGGGACTGGATTCTGTCCCCGTCCTCAGGTAAAACCTACTCAGTTGGGTCCAATAGACAGAGCTAGCCCGTGTCTCCGGAGACAGGGGGTAAGTAATTAAGTACTACTCCATGAAGGCGTATGGGGGAGTGGTTGTATAGATTTTCTTGACCTCTGTACTAGCTGGAGGTGGGTGATCAGTTTAACGCCCCTGCCGCTTTACCCCCAAGAAAGGGCAAACGGTACCAATTGGATAGGAGGCTGGGTGGGCCCAGAGCCGGTCTGGGCAACGTAGGGAAGAGAAAATTCTTGACCCTAACGAGACTCGAACTCCGACTGCTCGTTCATCCAGCCCATAATCTGTCGCTA